TCTTGGAACAGTCCCAGTTTAAACCCACCAGTCCATAAACAACAAGGAACTTCTAATTTCCAACCGCAACATCAAGGAAATAGTTCTAACTCTCAGACTCACCAACAAAGTTTTCAGAATTCTCAACCACCTTTTCAGAAGAATCCTCCCCCACAGTCAGAATCATCTTCTTTGGAAGCAATGATTAAAGAACTCTTTGCAAATGCACAAACACAAAATCAAGCTTTGATAAATCAACAAAGTGCGGCCATCAGGAATTTAGAGACTCAAGTCAGTCAACTTGTGCTCAACCAGAACAATCGAGCCCTTGGTACCTTGCCCAATAATACAGAGGTCCCTAGAGACCTAGGTAAGGAACATGTGAAAGTAGTGACCCTTAGGTGTGGGAAGGAGTTGAAAGAAAAAAGTGCCCAAAGATAGTGCACCAATTTTGACAGAAGCTGATGCTACAACATTGGTTCCTGCCAAAGAGAGACCGGTCCTACCCTTAGAGAAAAAGGCATTAGAGACCACCACTTCTGTCCCTACTAGATCAAACTCTCCATTACTCTTTCCTGAGGATGCCTTAAAGAAGTCAAAAGAAACTGAGGTTTTAGAGACCCCTAAGCTTGATGCTAAAATTTCATCTGAACCTCTAAAGGGAACCACAAAGACCCAAGGCATTCAGGACCCATCTTGCTCAACACCTCCAAGTAAGAATGTGATAAAACCAGTCCCTCCTTATGTTCCCTACCCCCAAAGGTTGAGGAATCAAAAAGGGGAATTGTACTTTAAGAAATTATTGGATGTGTTTAAAGAATTGCACATCAACATCCCGCTTGTTGAGGCAATTGAGCAAATGCTTAGTTATGCCAAGTTTTTGAAGGACATCCTAAGCAAGAATAAGAAGTTGACTGAATATGAGACTGTAGCCCTAACCGAAGGATGTAGTGCACTTTTAACCAATAGCATACCCCCAAAGATAAAAGATCTAGGGAGTTTTACCATTCCTTGTTCAATAGGAGGGAAGGAGATAGGGAAAGCCCTATGTGACTTAGGAGCTAGTATCAACCTTATGCCCTTGTCTGTTTTCAACACCTTAGGCATAGGAGAAGCTAGACCGACCACATTCACACTCCAATTGGCCAACAAGTCCATAGCATATCCTAAGGGGAAAATTGAAGATGTTTTGGTACAAGTTGACAAGTTCATATTTCCGGCGGACTTTATCATTCTAGATTTTGAGGTAGATAAAGACATTCCTATTATTTTAGGAAGACCATTTCTAGCCACCGAAAGAACTTTGATAGACGTCCAAAAAGAAGAATTGACTATGAGACTCCAAGACCAAAAAGTCACATTTAATGTCTTCAACTCTCTAAAGGACCCTGATTACTTGGAAAAGTGTTCAAGAATATCTGAGATAGAGGAGATGTGTTTGGAAGAGGGAATTCAGAAAAGCCTTAAGTTGGAAGGAGAGTATGATGAGGAAATAGAAGAGGAAAATGTTGAGGAAATAGAGGAATTAGGAACTGATGTTGTCCCAGTAGATGCTGCAACATTTGAGCTGCTAGAAAATAATGAGCAAAAAGACTTCACCCCGTCCATACAATCACCACCTGATTTGGAGTTGAAACAACTCCCATCCCATCTAAAATATGCTTTTCTAGGAGAAGAAGAAAAATCGCCTGTCATTATCACATCTACCCTAGAATTGCATCCAGAAAAGAAACTTGTGGATATGTTGAAATTACATAAGAAGGCCTTAGGATGGACCATTGCTAACCTTAAAGGGATTAGTCCCTCTATCTGTTAACACAAGATCATCCTAGAAGATAAAAATTTCACTTCCATAGAACCTCAACGAAGGCTAAATCCTGTCATGAAAGAGGTAGTCAAAAAGGAGATTTTAAAATGGTTAGATGCCGGAATTATTTTCCCGATAGCCAGAAGTTGTTGGGTTAGTCCAGTCCAATGTGTTCCAAAAAAGGGAGGGTTCACAGTCATCACAAATGACAAAAATGAACTTATCCCTACTAGAGTTGTCTCCGGTTGGAGAATATGCATGGACTATAGGAGACTAAACAAGGCTACCCAAAAAGACCATTTTCCACTACCTTTCATTGACCAAATGTTGGATAGGTTAGCCGGAAAGGAGTACTATTGTTTCTTGGATGGTTATTCAGGGTACAATCAAATAGCCATTTCTCCCGAAGACCAAGAGAAAACCACCTTTACTTGTCCTTATGGCACTTTTGCATTTAGAAGAATGTCGTTTGGACTTTGTAATGCTCCTGCCACCTTTCAAAGGTGTATGATGTCCATATTTTCGGATATGCTTGAAAAATCCATTGAAATATTTGTGGATGATTTTTTTGTATATGGTTCATCATTTGATCATTGTTTAAATAATTTGAAAAAGAGCTTGGAAAGGTGTGAGGAAACATACTTGGTCCCCAATTGGGAGAAATGTCATTTCATGGTCAAAGAAGGAATTGTTCTTGGACACTTGATTTCTAAAAGAGGGGTTGAGGTAGATAAGGCAAAGCTTGAAGTAATTGAAAAATACCCGAACCTACCACGGTTAAGGGAATCAGAAGCTCTTTGGGTCATGCCGGATTTTATAGAAGGTTTATGAAAGATTTTTCGAAAATTTCAAAACCTCTCTATCTACTCCTACAACATGACCAAAAATTCAATTTTAATGATGAGTGCAAAAATGCATTCAAAACTTTGAAAAAAAGCTTTGGTTACTGCACCAAAGGTAGTTGCCCCGGATTCGAACAAACCTTTCGAGATAATGTGTGACACAAGTGATTAGGCGGTAGGTGCTGTGTTAGGACAAAGAAAAGAAAAGGTGTTTCATTCAATTTATTACGCAAGTAAGATTTTGAATAAGGCACAAATTAATTACACCACAACTGAGAAGGAATTATTGGCCATAGTTTTTGCTTTTGAGAGATTTAGGTCCTTCTTGATGGGAACAAAGGTAATTGTGCATACCGATCACTCAGCAAGAATTTGACTTAGAGATACTTGATAGAAAGGGAGTAGAGAATCAAGTAGCGGACCATTTGTCTAGGTTGGAAGAACCTGAGAAAGGAGAAATGGACATTAGTGACACTTTTCCGGATGAAAGAATCCTCATGATTGACCAACCAAAAACACCATGGTTTGAGGATTTAGCTAATTTCTTGGTCTATGGAATAAAACCTTCTGATTACACAGGCCACATGTTGAAAAAACTCTTTCATGATACTAAATCTTATTTGTGGGATGACCCGTTTTTGTTTAGACTTGGTGCAGATCAGATTTTAAGAAGATGCGTACATGAATCTGAAGTAGCAGGAATCCTACAACATTGCCATCATGCACCATACGGAGGCCATTTTGGAGGGCAAAGAACTGCAACCAAGGTTTTACAGTCCGGTTTTTATTGGCCAACCATTTTTAAAGATTCCCACAATTTTGCACAGAGGTGCAACTAATGTCAAAGAAGTGGCTCCATTTCCAAAAGAAATGAAATGCCATTAAATGGGATACTCGAAGTTGAATTATTTGATGTTTGGGGAATAGACTTCATGGGTCCTTTCCTTCCATCAAATAACTGCCAATACATACTTGTGGCTGTTGACTACGTATCCAAATGGGTGGAGGCTATGGCATGTGTGTCAAATGACGCAAAAACTATGGTTAAGTTCCTCCAAAAATAGATTTTCACATGGTTCGGTACCCCAAGGGCACTAATTAGTGATGAGGGTACCCACTTTGTGAACAATTTGTTAAAAGGAGTTCTTGAAAAATACAATGTTAACCACATAATTGCCACGGCCTGTCACCCACAAACTAATGGTTTGGCAGAGCTCTCTAATAGGGAAATTAAAAGCATTTTGGAAAAAGTGGTCAAGCCCAATAGGAGGGACTGGGCATTCAAATTAGACGATGCTTTATGGGCATACCGAACTGCTTTCAAAACACCAATCGGTATGTCTCCATATAAGCTAGTCTACGGAAAAGCCTGCCATTTGCCTTTAGAACTTGAGCACAAAGCATATTGGGCTATCAAAGAGCTCAATATGTCTTTGGATGAAGCCGGAAAGAAAAGAAAGTTACAACTGTGTGAAATGGAGGAACAAAGACAAATGTCTTATGAGAATGCCAAACTTTATAAAGAAAAGACAAAGAAGTGGCATGATAAAAAAATCCAGCACCGGGAGTTGAAAGAAGGACAAAAAGTCCTCTTGTTTAACTCTAGGTTGAAACTATTCTTGGGAAAGCTCAAGTCTAGGTGGTTTGGACCATTTGTCATTCACAAAGTCCACTCTTATGGAGCGGTTGACCTTATTAACCCGGAGGACAACACTGTGTTTAAAGTGAATGGGTAACGAGTTAAGGTATTTCATGATACTGTAGCATTCCCAGAGCATTGCTCTGAGAATTGGGCTATACCTTAGGAAAGGAAGGTGTTTTTGGACTTTTCAAGTCCAGGTTTGTTTGTACATATTTTCCCTCTTTATATTTATGTTTTAGAGCAGTTATGTGTTATCAGTTTGTTCTTGTGCAGGTTATTTTCAAAGAGATTATCATGGGAAGTTGATGCTCTGCCAATGCTACAGCATTCATAGGTTCACATGTGAAGATTGGCAGCATCTTTTTAAGGAAGTCAATAAAGGTACAAGTGACATAAGCACTGCATCATGGCAGTTTTGTCAGCCTTCTTTCTCAGAACTTGTCCCCCATGAACCATCAACCCAATCCATCACATTAAATTTTTTTAACCTATTGATAACTACCTTTGACACTTCCTTAACCACTCTCCACTTCTAAGACTACCACCAAAGCCTCTCTCAATAAACCACTCTCACTAAACTCATGGTAACCACACTCCACTCTCTTCTCCTCACTGTGCAATAATAGCCCGTATGAAGAGGGCGGCTGTTCGTGACTCACCTTAACCAGTCCGACGAAGTAACTGCTGGCGAGCCTGTACCTCCGCGTCGCGATGAACGGGGGAGCCCGAAATGATTGACCTAGTCGCTAATTGCCCCTCGTCGTCTCTACCTTCGTTACCGTCTCCACCTAGACCACGGCTTGTCACGCCATTAATAGCTGAATCGCCTCCACGCGCTAGAAGAACGGCGAGGCGACCGCTGTCTCCTCCCCCACCCTCAACCAACTGTGCGCCATCTCTGCCACCCACCATCGTTGCTCCTCCATCACCACCACCTACGGCAGTCGAGACCACCATTCGACCACCATCATCACCGTCGACAGTTGCAAGCCCTAGATGGGGTATTGAGGTTAGTCATGTTTCGAGCCCCAATTTGCCTGTTGAGGGATTGACTACATCCGATTCTTTTGAGGATGAAAACTTTGTTCCACCTCAATCTCCCTTAACTGTTTTGAATCCATCAAGAATGTATTTTCTTACTTGGTATGATCACCCTTGCACACAAATGCCTGAAGCCACTGTTTTGGCTGATTCTATGCCTCACATAGAGGATGAACCTGTTGGGCTTGATCACAATGAACCACATGATGGGGAAGAAGCTTTTGATTCCCCATACATTGAGGCTGATTTAGAAGCCGATGTAAGGTATTTGACGCCAATTCCAACCAGAAAAAGAAAGAGTTTGGGAAAAGTTTTTGCAACTAGATCACAAGTTGTGGATAAGCACACTAGAAAGAGACCAAGGCGCACTCCACCTTCTGTCCAGTTAAGGCACACAGCCTTTGTGCCTAGAAAGTCACCCCGAATGGCTACGGCAAGGCTTGATGAAAAAGCCGGCCCTTCTCGGGTGAGAGCCACACACAGAATATTAAGTACTAAACCCGTTCCAAGGCCACAACAACTGTTTAATGGGTTTAGTACTGAAGTAGCATAGTTGAATTTTGCAAAGATCAAAAATAAGAAGGTGTTGCCAGATAAGGGGTTCGATAGAAGAAGTATTGAGGAATTCAGTTTCATCCGGGACGTGATCAATAGGCAAGGATGGCAAGTGGTTTGCGAGGTAAAAAACTCTTTCAATTTGTCTTTGATTAGGGAGTTTTACGCCGAAGCTTGAGTGTTTAGCACTACAAAGATTAAGGTCCGAGATGTTTGGGTGAGTATCTCGGCCAAGGCTATTAATAAGCTTTTAGGCTTTTCACCCCCGGCCGAAACTGATTTCGAGATGCTGTCTTAATCGGCTTCACAAGCTAGGCTTGAGGAAATTGGTAGGGAAGTTGGGAAGCCTGGGGCCGGTTGGGACGTCCATAGTAACTACATGTTACGGACTTATAGAGCTTCCAATTTGACACCCGATGCTAATGTATGGATGAACTTTATTAGACACTCTCTCAACCCGACTACTCATGACAGTTCTATTTTGGTTGAGAGAATCATTTTGTTATATTGTGTGGTAATGGGCAAGACGCTTAATGTGGGGGAAATCATAGAAAAGGCCATACTTTACTGTTCCAAAAGAAGACAAAGGAAACTGTTTTTCCCGGGCTTGATTTATAAGTTACTTATGCAAGCGGGTGTTCCCCAATACACTGATGACCTAGTGATTAAAGAATGTGAGGAGAAGTGGACTATTGACATGAAGGTTGTATTTAGACTGAGAGAAAGGAGTGAGAGAGGTAGGGAGTTACCCAGGGTGACACGGACTATGGAGGAACTTTTGGCACAAAGTGGTAATATATTGGATTACCTGATAGAACAACGGGCTGAGATGGTGGAAAAGTTAGAAGGCATGCAGGCTGAGATTTCTAACAGGTTGAAGGCAAGTGAAAGGAAGATAAAGAAGAGATTCGAAAAGCCGAAAGAAGAATTGGAGAATGGGGCAGCAGACAAGATCAAGAGGCTGCAAAAAAAATTGAATTGGTACAAGACGGAGACCGGGAGACGGAAGGCAGAGATTGCATCCGCGGCTGCCCGGAGTGCACAGCCTACTCCTTCGGAGTAGGACAGGTTCTACCACCCTACTTTAGCTTCATATTTTATCTTTTTGAGTCGGGAATAGGTTTTTTTATACTTTGTAGTCTTATTTTTACGCATGATCATTTCAGTTGAGGGATGTTAAGACATGAGATCATAGCCCGAATAATTTTAGTGATTGCTTGTCATTTAATCATGGTACTTTGTTTTTGGCTAGAACTAGCAAAACCCTTTTTGGGAAAACACTTTGATCACACAATCACCATTAGAAAATGAGATAGGCCATCTTTTCTATGCTCATATTAGCTACTTGCACCCTTTAAACAACATTTACCCCATAAAACGCCAATGAGGACATTGTCATATTCAAGTTTGGGGGAGGAGTTTACATAAGGACACAAAGTCAATACAAAAGAGCAAAGCTCTAAATTGACTCCTTATCACACAAAGGGTGTTGAAAACACAATAAAAGTCCCATAGGGGCTATGTGTTTAGGAAAATATTATGAAAAAGCACAACAAAAGTCACATAGGGACTATGTGCATACTCCAAGCAAAAGAGGCCAAAGTGCCCAAAAATTTGAAAAATTTATATGTGGAGTATATAAGAGAAAAAAAGCTATGAGAGAAAAGATATGCCAATGAGAGAAAACCCTATAAGCCCTATTGATCCTAAAATGGTGATTGTGTTTGAACTTAACGAAGAAAAGGGAATGCTAGCCTATGGTTCACACAAATAACTTGGTTTTGAGTGGCTCAACTTAGATTTATGAAAGGCTATGAACATCATGATGCTATAACTCTCTTTGGGAAGACACTTAATGCCTTGATCATGCATTTTTGTTTATATTGAGTCTTTATATTTGTCTTTTGGTTGCTTGGGAGCAACAGTTTAAGTTTGGGGGTGTGATATGTGTTGAGAATTTGACACATAAAACACTCGTTTTACGTCTTTTTAGTCATAATAATTTCTTTTCATTCCCACTTTGAGTCATTTTTATTTATTTCCTTATACATTTGCTATTATGAAGCTAAATATTGTGGTTGACTTGTTGGTACCCTTGGATGAAGCTAATATAGTATATTTGTAAAAACAGTAGGATGCTACAGCATTGGTGCAGCATCGATCTAATTCATGCGTAGCTTTATGGAGGGCTTAATGATTAAGACGCTGACTTTTTGACTAGTGGAAGACAGCTGTAAAAGCTGACTTTTTGTTCTAAAATCTGATGTTTAGACTTTGGTTAGGCCATTGTACTTGTTTGTTACTCTTTTGTTGCCATGTAACGAGCTTTTGTAAACTTAGCCTCCAAGTCTTTTGCTTTTGTCTTTTAATGACCCCTTTTATGTATAAAAGGAAGGCTTGGGGTGCCTTCATCTATCATCCATTAATCCATCCTTCATCCATTGTATTCCATTTCCATTAGCTAGTATTGTAAACCCTCTCCAAGGGTGGTTTTTATTAATCTTTTGAAGTTCTTCATCTTTTCTTCTTTAATATTCTCGTCTTTTATTTTACGTTATTTATTTTACATTCCTTTACGATTATTGTCATTTACATTCCGTCATTTAATTTTCGCAATTTACATTCTCGTCATTTACATTTTCGTCATTCATTTTCTCGTTATTTATTTTACGCAATTTACGTTTATGTCTTTATTTTATGTAATTAATTTTATATTTTTCGTTATGAGTAACTAAGCTTTTATAGCTTGGGTGTGAGATGGAAATGTGTGATTTTCAAACCAAATGAAAGTAGCTAAGTGTTTTCATAAACGACATTCCATTGTTTCATTCGAGTTTTTATAAAACCAAGCACACTTCTTGACGGGTTGATCACTTGAAAGTGTTAAAGTGCGATGGACTTAGAGATAAGCCATTAATAAGCATGTCAACTTGGATGACATAAGAGGTAGACTTGAGAAAGTTGCCGACGGGTTGATCACTTGAAAGTTCTCATTTATGTTTTTCAAACTTAACTCCCGACGGGTTGGTCACTCTTCAAAAGTGTCAAAGTGTGGTAGATTTAGAGATCAACTATCAAGAACACGCCAACTCGAAAGATATGGCAATCGACTCGAGAGGGTGATTTTTAACAAAGAGATTTGTTTATCCATATATTTTGAAAACACCATTGTGTCACTATCCCCGGTCCAGACACCACATAGAGATATGGGTGGAAAGCTATAAGATAGTGCAATGGTGAAGTCCGAGAGGAATGCCTTCAAAATAGATGGTGGAACTTAGTTTTGAAACACTGCTTGCTGTAGCATTCATATAACATTGGCTGTTGGAATTTGTGTTTGGGTCTCACCTTAAGTCTTACACCCTTGCTTCTTTTATATATTCTGTATTCTGTTTTAATTCACCTTACAATAAAAAAAGTCTTCAAAATCGTCATCTGAAATCATCTCTTTCATTGGACTCTAATCTAACTTTGGCTACAATCTCTGTGGACGATAATCCGGTACTTGTACCACTTTATTACTTGGAAAGACGACGTTGGGCCGTATTGTATATTTGCTTTGTGTCCCAATTTCATTAGTCTAAAGGTGTGAAATATAACCGACCAGCAGCAACAATCCTATCATCTTTGAGAGATTCTGTATACGTGAGATCTTTAAGAGCTCAAGAACATCTTGTACTTTGATTTCATCAATATACTTGCCGACATACGTATTTCTACAATCTGTGTTCTTGATCTTGACTTAATCATGTTATAAACTTGAATCTGGGATCTACACATACAGATTAAAAACCATTCTATTGGTGGTCGGGGTTGAAAAAGGATATTGCAAGGTACGTAGAATGGTGTCTAACATGTCTATAAGTAAAGATAGAACATCAACAACCCTATGGGAATTTGCAATCATTAGAAATTCCGATGTGAAAGTAGGATCATATCACGATGGGTTTCATACTAAAATTTCCACGAACTTCGAAATGGTATGATCCATATTTTCTACCAACCAAAGAAACTTATCCGTTAGACAGACTTTCAAAGATCTATATTGATGAGATTGTGACTAGACACAGTGTTCCGTTATCAATCATTTCATATAGGGATAGCCGGTTTATGTCAAGATTCTGGGGAAGCTTTTAGAAAGCCATGGGATCTCAAATTCGATTAAGTACGGCGTATCACCCATAGACTGATGGGAAAAGTGAACGAACAATACAAACCCTTGAAGATATGTTGCGAGCATGCACTATTGACTCTGGGGTTCATAGAAGAATCATCTATCATTGATTGAATTTGCCTACAACAATAGTTATCATTCTAGCATTCAAGTGGCATCTTATGAAGTTCTATACGGCAGAAAATGTTGAAAGTTGTTATGTTGGAATGAAATGGGGGAGAAACACTTGGCCGATCCAGAGATTGTTCAGATAACAACCGAAAAGATAGATCGGATTTGGGGAAAGAATAAAGACAACTTATAACCGACAAAAGAATTATGCCGATAAACGTTAGAAACTCATTGAATTTTAGGTGGAAGATCTTGTGATGATGAAAGTTTCATCTTGGAGAGGTATTGTGTGTTTTGGGAAGAGATGTAAACTAAGTTTGAGGTACATTAGGCCATTCAGAATCAGTAAACAGGTTGGTGAGGTAACATATGAGTTACAGTTACCAGAAGAACTCAACGCTATTCATAACAATTTCCATGTTTCTAATTAATGGAAGTGTTTTGTCTTAATCAAATATGGTTGTACCGTTTCCTGAGATTCAGAACGATTAAAAGTTGAGCTTTATGGAAACCTCTAAGGTCGTCACTGACCGCAAGACTAAAGTGTTGAGAAATAAAGAAATTAGTTTGGTGAAAGTTCAATGGCGATTTCATAAGGGGCAAGAGGCTACCTGGGTACTGGAATCTGATATGAGAATGAAATATCCTCAGTTGTTCAATTGATTGAATTCCGGGACATAATTTCTTTGAGGGGAAAATAATGTGATAACTGG